TAAGTTAAATAAGCAGGGTGACAATATACAGCCTTGACGTACTCCTTTTCCTATTTGGAACCAGTCTGTTGTTCCATGTCCAGTTCTAACTGTTGCTTCCTGACCTGCATACAGGTTTCTCAAGAGGCAGGTCAGGTGGCCTGGTATTCCCAAGCTGCATAATTTGATTTCTCACCTCTCTCATACCTCTGCTCAAATTATCACTTCTTCAGTAAGACTTTTTCTGCCCATCTACCTAAAAATCTAACTCCTATTTTCTACCCCAAAAATCTGTACTTTATTTTCTTACTCTCAATATCCCAACAAACCACAAATTTGGATATTTTTTCCCTATAGAAGAATATAAAGTATTCCATAATATTCCATAAATATATAAGAATTTTAAATATTTAATATTCAAAGTATACTAAAATATATATTCACTTGCATTAATAATGAATGTATATACATATTTTAATCCATATCTGTACACAAAAAGGGTCTTCCCAGGTGGCGCTAGTGGTAAAGAACCTTCCTGCCAATTCAGGAGACCTAACAGATGAGGGTTCAATCCCTTGGTTGGGAAGATGCCCTGGGAGAGGGCATGGCAACCCACTCCAGTATTCTTGCCTGGAGAATCCACAGACAGAGAAGCCTGGTGGGCTACAGTCCCAAGAGTCACAAAGAGACACAACTGAAAAGACTTAGCACACATGCATGTACACAAAAAGTAGTATTATCTTTTTTAAGCATCCACAGAAGAATTATGAAATTCTCCCATGAGTTATGTGTTCTAAGTATATTCAAAGAATTAATAATACAGGCCAAAGTTATCTAGAACAATGAATCAAAACTAGAAACTATAAACAAAAAACAAAACAAAACAAAGCACAACTTCTTAGGATAATAGTGAACACTGCATATTTAACATATACCAGTATTAAAACTAAGCAGAGGACTTCCCTGGTGACCCAGTGGTTCAGAATCTGCCTTCCTAGGCAGGGGATGCAGGTTCAAGCACTGGTCAGAGATCTAAGATCCCACATACTGTGAAGCAACAAGCCTGCACACCCCAACTATTGAGCCCGTGGGCCACAACTAGAGATCATGTGCCACAACAAAAGATCACCCATGACTCAATGAAGACCCCATGTGCCGCAACTAAGACTCGACAAAGCCAAATAAAATAGTATATTAAAAAAAGAAACTAAGCAAAGAATGTATATTCATCTTTGTATCAATTCATATGATGAGAATTGGTACCACCATTTTATAAATAAGGAATCTAAAGCTAAGAACACTTAAAAACCTTACACAAGATAACACAGCTAAGTGGTAAAGCTAGACTCACTTCCAGGTTCCTGACTATGGAGACCACGCTCTTGATTAATGTACTCTTTTAAAAAACATTTGGGTCAAAGAAAAATCACCACTGAAATTTAGAATATACAATAGTAAAAACACTCTATTTAAAGAAAAAAATTTAACTAAAACTATACTCCAGAAAATTCAAACTCTTTACCAAATAAAAAGTAGAAAAATAAATATAAAAAGCATTCCACTTAGTAGAGAAAAATAATAAAAGTAAATCTAAACAGAGGGAGAAAAAACTATTTAAAAGGAAAAAGAATTAGTGAATTAGGAAAAAAAAATGTATAAAAGATCATATGTCAAGCACATTCTTTAGGGGCATAAAAATTATAAAACTCTCTATAAAGAGGCATTTTTAAAACTTCAACATTTAGCTTCAGTAATCATCAATATATGGCAAATCTTGCTTCATTTATACTCTTATCAGCCTGACATTTTAAAATACTGGAGTAGGCACCTTAAATGCCAATTATATTATTATGTCCTACTTCAAAGAAAGGACTGTCACTCATCTTACTCCTTCTCTTTATCTTTCCCTCCCTCCCTCTCGCACCCAGTTGTAAGGTCTTACAAATCTCTAACCATAAAATAAGGCTCTTAAGGGTAGGTATTCAATACATTTATGACATAAAAATGTCAATGGTGATAATTTAAATGAAACATAGCACAGGGACTTCCCTGGTGGTTGGTGGCTAAGAGTCCAGCTTAAAATGCAAGGGGCCCAGCTTCAATCCCTGGTCAGGGAACTAGATTCCACATGCTACAACTAAGTGTTCACATTAATCTTGCTTCATTTATACTCTTATCAGCCTGACATTTTAAAATACTGGAGTAGGCACCTTAAATGCCAATTATATTATTATGTCCTACTTCAAAGAAAGGACTGTCACTCATCTTACTCCTTCTCTTTATCTTTCCCTCCCTCCCTCTCGCACCCAGTTGTAAGGTCTTACAAATCTCTAACCATAAAATAAGGCTCTTAAGGGTAGGTACTCAATACATTTATGACATAAAAATGTCAATGGTGAAACATAGCACAGGGACTTCCCTGGTGGTTGGTGGCTAAGAGTCCAGCTTAAAATGCAAGGGGCCCAGCTTCAATCCCTGGTCAGGGAACTAGATTCCACATGCTACAACTAAGTGTTCACATACTGCAACTAAGACCTGGTTCAGCCAAATAAATAAATAAAATAAAAGATATTTAAAAAAAAAAGTATACCTTACTCCAATTTCCATAATGCTATAAAAATCAAGATAGTAGAAAATAAATCATAACTTACTCAAATTTTCCTGAACTACATTATCATCCACATCTGAATTATTCTTTCCAGACGTTAAATAATTCTTGAGCCGAAAAGGTCCACTTAAGAAAAAAAGGAAACCACAAAATTTGTGCTTTTGTAATATATCTATTTAACATATCTATCTTTATGGTCATTTTTCTCCTAAAACTGCAAAGGATTTTTTTCTTATAAAACCAGTAATTATGTTATAGGACATTAAGAATATACCTACTTGATTCATAAAACAAAAGTCTAAAAATCTACAATTTAATCCCACATTTGATTTAAACACAATACCACTGAATTTGACAACCTTTAAACTAACTCATGAGTCAGAGTTACACATTTAAGTTAACTCAATAACACACTTTGATAAAAATCAAATCATTAGAAATAAATCAGCTTATCTTAATTTTTAAAAAAAACTACCAGCAAAAACAAGTAATTTAAAATTGTTCAGAGATGACTTGGTTTATCCCAGTCCTAGATCCTCGTCCATCCTGAGCCCAGGACAGGCCTAGTAGTCAAGGGCTCTCAAACAGTAAAGAAATCTTAGTTATCCCTTTAAAGTCTGAAAATCTGCTATAATCTACCATTCCTTCATTTTGAAAAAGGGTTTATGACTTCAGATATTATGAGAGTAGGGTAATTTGGTTTACTTGCTGAGTATGCTCTCTTTAAACATACACCCACAAAGTCTTAGATAACGCTTCTTTCAAAAGGTACAGCCCAATTCTAACTCCCTCCTGAGTTCATTTTGTGCAGCCATACTATCTTGGTTCTCTGAGTTTCCTGTATCTCTATGAAAATGAAAAGTCTGTAATTGTTCACATTTCTTCAAAAATTAGTTCTTCCAGAAACATAACACAGATGGGTAGACAATACAATACTGACAAATATCAGATAATCTTGTTCAGGTCCTAAAACTTAACAACTAGTCCAGGAAGGAAATCTGATTTTAGAATCTACTCAAAGTTTTAATTTAAAAAATTCTGTGGAGAAGGAAATGGCAACCCACTCCAGTATTCTTGCCTAAAAAAGTCCATGGACAGAGGAGTCTGGTGGGCTGAAGTCCATGGGATTACATGACTGAGCATGTGTGCACGAGGGTAGAGGGAGATGGGTTAGTAGCAATAAAGTGGTAGAACTAAAAAAAAAAAAATTCTGATAAAAGAAATGATAGAGAACTGACCTAAGATAGAAGTGACTAACTGGGAGTAATTACTTACAGGCAGCTTATGATGTAGGAAAGTGAAAGTGAAAGTCGCTCAGGGGTGTTCAACTCTTTGCAAACCCATGTCCATGGAATTCTCCAGGCCAGAATACTAGAGTGGGAAGCCTTTTCCTTCTCCAGGGGATCCTCCCAACCCAGGGGTTGAAACCTGGTCTCCCGCCCTGCAGGCAGATTCTTCACCAGTTAAGCCACAAGGGAAGCCCAAGAATACTGAAGTGGGTAGCCTATCCCTTCTCCAGAGGATCTTCCCAAGCCAGGAATGGAACTGGGGTCTCCTGCACTGCAGGTGGATTCTTTACCAACTGAGCTATCAGGGAGTTCATCTATCACAGTTTTTGTTGAAAATCCTTAAAGAACTGAAATTTGTTTTCTTTGATATCTCTACCCAGCCTTCTGACAAACAGTACTGTTCAGAGGAACATAGGCTCACCTCTTTGGTAGCTGCCAACTAGTTAGCTTACTGCAAATATATGCAAACAAGATACATTATTTCAAGATGGTATAATTCTCTTCTCTCACATCTCCCTTACAAATCCCATGTTTTGTTTCTTGACTCAGTCTACCAGCTTATTCTTATCATTTGTGGGGATAAAACTGCAACATAACTAAAGAGCATGCAAACTTCTAAGTATTCTTTGATAATTTATTTCGAGAGTTTCTAGTCTCCCTCTAGGTCCTTTCATCAGTCAAAACAAAAGGCTTGTTAGAGAATACTATAAACAACTGTATACCAACAAATTAGATAACCAGAGTGGAATGGACAAATTCCTAGAAACACAAAAATTGCCAACATTGATTCAAGAAAAAAATAATCAATTTCAGAAGACTTAATTAGAGAATAAATCAGTAGAAAGATTTATTGCCCAGATGATTTCACCACTGAATTCTACTACCATTCAAAGACTTAACATGATTTCTTCACAAACTCTTCCAAAAAATAGAAAAGCACTTCCCAACTCATTTTATGAAGTCAGTGTTATCCAGATACCAAAACTGCACAAAGACATCACAAGAAAACTACAGACCAAAAGAAAACAAAACCCCTCAACAAAAGACTAGCAACATAAAAATAGAATCATGTATCCTGATCAAATAGGATTTAAACCAGAGATACATGTTTGGTTTAAGCCAAAAACCAATTAATGTAGTACATTTTATCAATAATAAAAAAAAAGGATCACATGGTCACCTCAGTATACAGATGCCAAAAAAAAAGCATTTGACAAAACACATTTTTTCACTATAAAAAACACTCAACAAACTAGGAATAAAAAGGAACTTTCTCAATCTGATAAAAGGACATTTACAAAAACCCCACAGCTAATAACATATTGAATAGTGAAAGAATGGATGCATTCCTGCTAAGATTAAGAACAAGACAAAGAAGTCTACCATGCCACTCTTACTGAGCCCAGTATTAAAGACTTTAGCCAGAGCTATAATTCAAGAAAAAGCATCCGGATTGGAAAACAAAAGTAAAACTATCACTATTCACAAATGACATTCATGATCTTTTACTTAGAAAGTCCTACAAAATCTATTTTTAAAAGCTATCAGAACTAATACATGAGTTCAACAAGATTGCAGGATAAAGATCAACATAAAAATATCAATTGTATTTCTATACATTTGCACTGATCAATCCAAAAGTAATATTTAAAAAGCAGTTCCATTCACAACAGCATCAAAAGGGATACTTAGGAATGAAATTAACAACAGAAAATATAAAACGTATACTGCAAAAACACTGTTAAGAGAAATTAAAAAAGATCTAACTAACAGGAAAAACAAACCTGTTCATGGATCAATAGACACTATTAAGAGAGCAATAATCCTTAAATCAACAGATTCAAAGCAATCCATATCAGAATTCTGACATCTTTGCAAAAAATTGACATGCTGATTCTAAAACTTATATGGAAGTGCAAGACTCAGAATAGCCAAAATATCCCTAAAAAAAGAAAACTCACACTTTCGGATTTCAAAACTTACCTCTAACCAATGGTTATCAAGACAGTGTGGTTCTAGAACAACTGATATGTAGACAAAAGAATTGAAAATTCAGAAATAAGCCCACACATCTATTGTCAGTTGATCTACAAAAAGGGTTCTAAGACTATTCAATGCAGGGAAAATGTCTTTTCAGCAAACAGTTATGGGACAACTGAATAGTCTCATGCAAAAGAACAGGGCTGGACTCTTTACAGCATATACAAAATTTAACTCAAACTGGATCAAAGAATTGAATTTAAGAGCTAAAACTACAAAACTCTTAGAAAAAAACATAGGGGTAAATCTTCATGAACTTGAACTGGACAAAGAATTTGTAGATATGACACCAAAATACCAACAGCAACAAAAGCAACCACAGACAAAATAGATAAATGGGACTTTATCAAAATTAAAAACTTTTGTGCTTCTGGTAGTAGGAAAGCTTTTGTGTGTGTGTGTGTGTGTGTGTGTATAGTATGTATAATATATTTCAGAAAATTTATGAATTTTTGCCAAACCAAAAAAATTTATGACATTTTGATTCCACTTGTTTGACTTAGTATCAATAGAATGCTAGATTTCTAATTTATATTCACTCAAAACTTTGATATAGTTCCATGTATTTTGGCATCTAGTATTACTACTACAAGTCTATAAAATTTATTATCTTAGTGATTAACTAAAGTACAGATTTTGTTCAAATTCACAAAATTTTATGCTGTTCATTATTTGTTTTCATACCTTATTCAAGGCTACACACTGTATTTAATTGCACTGAGTAGCTTCAGCTGTATGCAACACATTCTGGTAAAATCTCTTTTCATTTTTATTCTATTACAAATATTTTCCTAGTTTTCCTTGTTATGGCTTTTTAGATACACTCATCATTTAAAAGTGGCCATTTAATTTCCAAGTACACGGGATTCTGTCTAAAGTATGAATGAATGAAAGTTGCTCAATTGTGTCCAACTCTTTGCAATCCCATGGACTATACAGTCCATGGAATTTTCCAAGCCAGAATACTGGAGTGGGTAGCCTTTCCCTTCTCCAGGGGATCTTCCCAACCCAGGGATCAAACCCAGGTCTCCCGCATTGCAGGCGGATTCTTTACCAGCTAAGCCACAAAGGAAACCCACAAGGGAAGGGAAGTTTAAACTATCCTTAACATTAATTTCTCATTTTTATACTAATTTCCCATTCAAATGCTTTCTTCTCTGCAATCACCCTCTGTGTTTTTTCAGTCTAATTTTATTGAGGCTTTCCGGGGCTAAGCTCTTCAACTTAGTAAATGTTACACTCTTGGTAACATGTTACTCTCTGTTGGTAAGTGTTACACTGTACTTGTGACATCATACTTGAAGATACGTGGGTTATTATCAAGTATCTTTTGATATTGATTTCTAACATAATTCCACGGGAATAAAAGAACAGACTGTAAGATTTCAATAACTTTAGACCATGAAATTTTTGCACTTTGTTTTACATTCCTGGATATGTTCCTGTGTCTCCTAGTTTACAGCCTATAGGAACTTGAATAGAATTTATATCCTGCTGTTGTGTCATAATTGTATAAATCTTAATTATGTTGAATTGGTTCACAGTGGTTTCAGGTCTACCATATCCTTCTACTTCTCTGTATACTCATTCTATCAATTTTTGAGTTTTTATTGAAATGACAACTAAAAATCTTAATTTATCTACTTAAAAAAATTGTAATATATAGTGGAACTACATATAACCTTGTTCTATACGTTCCAAGTTTTCTGTAAATGTGTTAGCATACTTAAATTAAAAAATTAAAATTAAAAAGAAAAAAACAGCTTTCATCCTTCAAAGAACACCATCAAGAAAATGATACAACCCAAAGAATGAGAGATTATCAAATATCACTTATTTGAAAAGAGACTTATATCTGGAATAAAGACCTCTCAAGACAATTCGATTAAAAAAAAGACAATCCAATTAAAAATCTGCAAAGGATCTTAGTCTTCACAGAATGAAAATAAAAATCACAATGAGATACAACTTCATACCAATTAGGATGGCTAGAATCAAAAAGCCAACAAATGTTGACAAGGATGTGGAGTCACTGAAGTCAACTGCTGATAGGAACACAAAATAGTGCAGATGCTTTGGAAAATGATCCTGCAATTCCTCAGAGGATTAATGTAAAGTTATCATGTGACTCAGGCTTCTCTAGTGGCTCAGTGGTCAAGAATATGCCTGCAAGGCAGAAGACGTGAGCTCAATCCCTGGGTCAGAAAGATCTCCTGGAGAAGGAAATGACAACTCACTCCAGTATTCTTGCTTTCTTGATGGTGTTCTTTGAAGCACATTCTGTTATATTTTGATTATCCATTGATCCACTGCTGAACATCTGGGAAACTACCTTTTGACTATTATGAATAATGCTGATAAAAACATCTGTGTACAAGTGAAATTGCTGAGACATATGCTTATTGTTGTTTAGTTGCTAAGTCATGTCTGACTCTTTCGTGACCCCATGCATTGTAGCCCACCAGGCTCCTCTGTCCACAGGATTTCCCACCTTATGACATGTAAAATATCAAGACAATTACGTGTTTGATCATCTACACGTAGTAAGTAGACTATACAAATGTCTCAAAGATCTTCCTTTCTATGAATCCAGATACCCAACAGGTTACCTAAGCAGATACTGTAATAACTATCAACTTTGGATGTTTCTAAATAGTCCCATTATGTGTAAGATAGGGATACTAGATCAAATTCAGAAACTCAACATATAAACTTTATTTTTATACCTTATTATTTCTCTCAACCCATAGCTAAGGCTTATCTGCTTTAATAAAATAGTGATTTATTATTCTTATTAAAACTGTTTATTATTATTAACACATTCAAGTAAAACAACTGGGCTGATAAAAGACCTAGGTACACTTATTTATCTTAAGTGTGCCTTCCTTACATGTAAAAAGAGATAATACCTATCCTCTCTACCTCTCAAGATTCTTAACAAAAACCAAATGATATAAAGAATAGAAAAGAAAGTGAAAGTGAAGTCCATCAGTCATATCCAACTCTTTGCGACCCCATGGATAAATGTAGCCCACCAGGCTCCTCCGTCCATGGGATTCTCCAGGCAAGAATACTGGAGTGGGTTGTCATTTCCTTCTCCAGGGGATCTTCCCAACCCAGGGGTAGAACCCAGGTCTCCCACATTGCAGGCAGACTCTTTAACCTTTGAGCCACTAGGGAAGCCCTGATACAAAGAATAAGCTACTATAAATATGGAAGTCTGACATAAGACAGAGGGAGCACTGCAAATCATTGGGGGCAAACATACAACTCAGTGAACTATTTACAGATAGTATGCACCATAACACCATATAGTAATGTACTTTAGAGTATTCTATCACGTATTCACTACATCCCCAGCACGTGCAATTTCTCATACATAATATGCATTAAGTATTTTTTGAATGAATGAATAAGCAAATGCTATATCAAAAAGCAAAAATGCCTAAGAGCAGTATTTACTAGGTTGTCAGGACTGATGAGAATTTATTGAAAGCATCTAGCAAACACTTGATAACAATAAGCACTAAAATATGTTAACTATTATCATCTTATAGGAAAAGAATTAATGCATTCCCAATTACTAAAATTATATTAATCTCACTTCAAAAAAAGCAACTTGGACTTCCCTAGTGGTCCAGTGATTAAGAATCAGTCTGCCAAAGCAGGGGACATAGGTTCAATCCCTGATTTGAGAAGACTCCACACGATGCAGGACAACTAAGACCTCGCAGCAGAACTAGAGAGCCTGCGTTGCAGAACCCAAGAGCCACAGCTGCTGAAGCCTGCTCACCCTGGACGAGGCGCTCTGCAACAAGAGAAGCCACCACAATGAGACATCTGTGCACGGCAACTGGAGAGCAGGTGTCCCTGCTTGCCGCAACTAGAAAAAGCCCACACACAGAACTGAAGACCCACCACAGCCAAAAATTAATTAATTAATTAATTAATTAAAGAAAATAAAAACGAAAGCAACTCAAACGATACACTGAAAAACAAAATGGGGACTTCCCTGGTGGTCCAGCGGTTAAGAATCCAACTTGCACTGCAGGGGACGGGGGTTCAATCCCTGGCTGCAGCACTAATCTCCCACATCTTGCAGAGTAACTAAGCCCAAGCACCACAGCTCTGAGCCCACGCACCACACCTAGAAAGTCTGTGTACCACAACTTTGATGCAAAGGAGACGTGACAAAGCTTCTCCTGTGCCACAACTAAGACACAATGCAGCCCAATAAATAAATTTTAAAAAAAAATTAATTAAGATGATAAATTTTGTTATATGTTTTTATCACAATTTAAAAAAAGGGATTGTTGGGTGACAATAACACCTACCTTATTAAATTTATCATCATACCTCATGTGCTATATATTATTCCCCATTTTAATAAGAGTAAACAAATTCAGAGTACTATTGAGCCTGAGGGGTCCACCCAGCTAATGGCACACCATGGATTTACTACCAGGTCTGTCAGACTGTACACTCCTTTATGCTAATATTGCTTTCTATAAATGATTAAATAACAGAGACATTTATTAAGTGTCAAACAAAAATAATTACTTTGTACATATAAGAGACATTACCCAAAAAAACAAACAAAAAAAAACAGGCATTACCCAGAAGGATTAGGATTTTTCTTCTTAGCCAGGTCTGCTTCATTGCTTCCCAATGACTCATTCTGGGAACCACCAGAATCTTTAGCACATAAAACCTTCTGTGCTCCTGAGCTGCCTTCGTTAGCTCTCTTCTGCTTTTTAAATGGAACAGCTTTTTTCCCAATATTCTTAGATGATTGGTTTGTTTTTTCAGCAGGTGGTTTTTGTCTACTGTTATACACTGACAGTTCATTTCTTACTAAAGAATTGCTAGAAAAAGGACCTACAGGATTAAATGATAACATAAAGTGAGTATACGATCTGGCTCACTAAAATATCATATTATTTATATTTTTCATGTAAACATATACATGCACCCCAATTTCATAGTAATCTATATTTGTTTTCAAGTTAAATTCATAAACTATTCAGCTCTTCACTTTATAGATTGTTGTTGTTGTTAGTCACTAAGTCGTGTCTGACTCTTTCCCAAGATCAGGGTCTTTTCCAATGAGTTGGCTCATCAGGTGGCCAAAGTACTAGAACTTCAACTTCAGCATCAATGAATATTCGAGGTTGATTTCCTTTAGAATTGACTGGCTTGATCTGCTTGTAATTTACAGATATATGGACAAAGTCTTTTAAATTGATCACAAGTTTTCAAAACCATCCTCTCTGGCTCTGCCCACTATTCTTCTTAACATCCTGGTATATCCCCAAGGTCCCAGTTTCATCTTCTCAGTCTCCGTGTACTTTTTTTGAAGGATCTATCTATATATAACTTTAATTACTATCTATATTCTGATATAATTATTATCTACATGCTGGTATCTATAATATTGACCTACCACTCTCCCCCAAATCTGCCACTCTAGTTTTATTTCCTATCTTAATGAAAAGTGTCACTATCTCATATATATGAGTCATCTGAGACTCCTGCCCCCAACCACAAGGAATCCTAAATCCTGTCACTCTACTTCTTGTAATGCTTCTCAAATCCTCTTCTTTTAAGCTCTGCTACCTGTCATTAGCAGGCATCTTTATCATTTCTTATCTGGATCATTAAAACAGCCTCTAAACTGATATCCTTTCTCTACCCTTGCATTCTTCGATCCATCCTTTACACCATTTTAAGAATCATCCTTAGAAAACACAAAATGAATCACTACAATCTGGTTAAAATTTTTTAGTGATTACCCATAGCTTAAAGATTAAGTTCAAATATGTTGAAGTCTAATTTATTACTACATCTAACTGCTTTTTCATTAAGCGTAACTCAACACTCTACTCCAAATAGACAAATCAAAAAAAGGCAGCAGTACTGAACTATCTGACTTTTTCCAAAGCACTGATCTTAAACAGTAGTCCCTAGACCAAAAAATCAGCATTACCTGGGAATCTGTTTGAAATGCAAATTCTCAGGCCTTAGCTCAGACCTACTAAATCAAAATTTTCAGAGTAAGATACTGTAATTTGTGTTTTAACAACTCCCCCAGATAATTTTGACAAAACAATTTTAAAAGGTTGAACTCTCAGCACCAAATCTCTACACGATACTTCTGCTTCAAACATTCCATCCTCTTTCCTCCCCACAGCCAATCACTGAGCTTGCTCCTAATCATCCCATCTTCAGGAAGCCTTCTCTAAAATCCAAGGCTAAATTAAGCAGCTCTTCTCAGTCCTTTGATAATGTTTATCATACATCTTGATACATGCGAAGAGCCAACTGTGGAAAAGACCCCATTGCTGAGAAAGAGGGCAGGTGGAGGAGGAGGCAGACGATGAAATGGTTGGATGGCATCATCAACTCAACGGACACAAGTTTGAGCAAACTCTGGGAGACAGGGAAGGACAGGGAAGCCTGGTATGCTGCAGTCCACGGGGTCACAAAGAGTCAGACACGAATGACTGCCTGAACAACAACATACAGCTCATTGTTTACTTACCACTCTCTTCCAGCAGACTGATAATCATTTAGACCAAGACCTATCTTTATATTCCTAATGTCTAACAGCAGGGGCAGGACTGTGGTAAAGCAAGAATAGCCTAGGGTGGTAAATTTTCTCCAGTTTTATTGATATACAACTGACAGATATCAGTTATATATCAATATATAACTGACATATATCATAACTGACTATACAAGTTTAAGGTGCAAAACACAATAATCTTATATAGTATATACTGCAAAATAATTATCAGAGAGTACATCTTAAAAGTTCTCATAAAGAAAAAAATAAAAATTCTAACTAGGGTATAAAATTTAAGAAGGTGTTTACTCCAAGTTGGGCTTCCCTGATAGCTCAGTTGGTAAAGAATCTGCCTGCAATGAGGGATACCTGGGTTCATTCCTCGGGTTGGGAAGATCCCCTGGAGAAGGGAAAGGCTACCCACTCCCGTATTCTGGCCTGGAGAATTTCATGGACTGTACAGTCCATGGGGTCGCAAAGTGTCCGACACAATTGAGCGACTTCCACTTCACTTTACTCCAAGTCAGTCACACAGCCCTAAGAGCAAGTGTCTTCTTAAATTTCCCATTCTAGGTTGCTCATTTGCCTCACTGAGTTCTGGCCCAGCCTAACACCATTCCTGCCTCACCATGGGCACACAATAAATGTTTCTTACGTACACTACAGGCAGATTAAGAGTAAAGAAATATGGGTTCTGTTGTTTTAAATTCTAGCACAAAGGTCTCTGACCTTAAGGGGAACTTATACTGCTTTTCTATGCTTCAGACTTAGTTTGTTCTTCCATCAGATGAAGGAGTTGGGACCAGGTGATCTGTAAGCATTCCTCCACTTTTGTGACTACCTACTTGATCCCAACATATCTCAGGACTAATACATGTTTCAAGTCTTTTTTGGTAAATTATGGAGCTCAAGCATGCTTATCCCAGCTTTGTAAGATTTTTATTAATCCATATAATTACATGTTCATTTACCATAGTACAGTTTCCAGCAACCTGGGGCAAAAAGATGAGTTCTCCAAAGTAGTAACAGTAGTATTTAACATTTTAATACTAAATATATGCCATTTAATACTTGTTTACCTTCAATATTTATCCTCCCACCATCAACCCCACCAACCTACTTCTAAGTGTTGCCACATACTCTGCCTTTACCTTTTCACATGATAATGTCTTTGCTTTAATCTAGAACTAACCCTTTTATTCTGGGGTAGCCCACACCCATTCCTTGCCTACACAAGGACTGTGTACCTTTTCACACAGTCATTTTAAAAAGCAGATGAGCTGATATAATATCTTGCATATTAAAAAAGAGAGAGAGACTGTCTCTTGACCCCACATCTGCCATACCCCTTTATTTTACTGTCTCTTTGGTCTCACTTCCAAACTCCCTTGAATCCACCTCAATCAGAGACGTTTGGTCTCATCATTCTACAAAAATCAATTTTATCAAGGTGGTAACAACCTCCAAAATCACACTGTCAATTCTTAGCTCTCATCTAATTCATGCCATGAGCAGTATTTAAAACAGTTCCTCACCCTCATCCAATATATCTATGCTGCTGGTCTTCCTTCTGTAGAATGTAAGTCATATAACAGCAGCAATGTTTCATTTTTGGTTTTATTTTTCCACAGCTGTATCCCTATACCTAGAATACTGTATATGATAAAGCTTCATGAATATCTATAATTAATTGATTTAATATTTCTATTGATGATCCAACTTAATTTTTTCCTCATGAGATTTTTCTCAAGTGAACAGGAATATAAATCAAACACAGAGCCTCTGATACAGTAAATATGATTTAAATAAAAATACTTACTCTGCTCTGATTTTACCACCCACCAATTAGATGGGCGTCTAGAAATTCTTCGACTTCTTGTGACAGTTGAAGTTAATTCTTCAGGTTCAATTTTGTTCTTCTTGGATCCACTTGAAAAATGCTTCTTTTTGCATTCCTTATCTTTTTTCTGATTCTTTTTGTGAGGAACATTGATGTTACCTTTCTTGCTTCCTAAAATAAAGAATAAAAATAAAAATCTACTGAACCAAAGAATATTCAGAAAACCACATCCAATTAAAAAAACAAACAAAAAATACCTCTCAATTATAGAAACTTCTTAAATTTATCCTATGGACTTCTTTTTTCTTCTATTTTTTAAAAGTCACACATTCTCAAAATCTACAACTTCCTCTCAGCTAAATGCAAACTTTGCACATTGCTTGATAAGCAACATATACTCCCGAGTCAAAAAGAAAAGTATAGTATGTAAAGGAAAAATGAAATATATGACTCCTTCCACTACTTATGAAAGTCCCACATAAGAAAAGGTTAACCACTGCTTTTCTGTTTTAAAATAATTCATGACTTTAGTCAATCTAATTTATGGAAGAGAATACTTAAAGGAAGTTTTCAATAAAGATATATTTTCTACCTGAAGGAAAAAAGAATGTTTCTTTGAATAGAATTTAAAGAGGAAAAAGAATTTAAAACAAGAATGAATATGGAAAGTAACAAAAGTTAAAGGTGTCAACAGTAGTTTCATTTTACTACAAAAGCAGATAGAGAAGAAAAGATCTAACAAAAGGGACAGATGAATTGTAGTTTTGTTCTTGAGACTGACAACCAGGAAGAAGGGGAAATCAGAAATACAGGCTATTTGAATACAAATATTGCATCTATAACAAAATGTGTACAACCACCACCATGAGTTTAACAATGGAAAATTCTTTTTTCAAAAAATATTGTAATTAGCCTCCAACTAATAAAAATAAATGAAAAAAGAAAAAAAAAATCAAAGAAACACATATGATCATCTCAATGGATGCAGAAATTTAAAAAAAAAAGAGAATTAAAACATTAGATGTTATATAATGAAAAATTTTCTTGACCACCAAGTCAATCAAGAAACCTGCATTTTTAAATTTCTGACACAAATATTTCTATGAGATCCAAAGAAATTAAAATCATTATCAAATAGGAAACTCATATAGTAAATAAACTGCATAAAAGTATATAATATATAAGATCAGGGGGAGTGGCCAGATGGCAGAATAGGAAGATCCTGAGCTCACCACCTCCCACAGGCATACTAAAATTACAACTACTATTTACAGAGCAAATATTGATGAGAACAATTTGAAGGCTAGCAGAAAAGACCTTCTACAATTAAAGACATGAAGAGCCACAAGACAGGCAGGAAAGGCAGAGACAAGAGACAACCAAGACCCACTGTGGGAAACCTACACAGAATAATTACGACTGCATGGCTCTCCTCAGGGAGCCACATGGTGTGAGTCCCACACTGGGCTCCCCTGCGTAGAGTTCCTGCACCAGGAAGACAAGCCCCCTAAAGTTTGACTTTGAAGGTTAGTGAGGCTTACTTTCAGGAGAATCTGAGGGCTATAGTAAATACAGATGTCACTCTTAATAGGCAAAGGCATTGTAATTAAAATGGCAAAATCTCAAACACTCCAAGGCCCAAGGCAGAAGTAGCAGTTTGGAAGGAGCCTGGGTCAAAACCACTTGCTGATCTCGGAGAGCCTCCCAAAGAGGCATGTAAAGTGGAGCTCACTGGGGACCCCGATGCTGGTTGCAGTCATCGTTCTACCACAAGGACACTGCTGTCGGCAACCACAATTTTGGAATCTTCTATCTAGCTTACTAGAGCTTCCCAGTGATCATTGGTAAAGAAACCACTTGCCAATGCAGGAGACGTGGGTTCGATCCCTGGGACAGACAGATCCCCTGGAGAAGGAAATGGCACCCGGTATTTGTAACTCCAGTATTCCTGCCTGGGAAACCCCATGGGCAGAGAAGCCCGCAGGGCTGTAGTCCACAGGCTCACAGAACAGTCAGATATGACACAGTGACTATTAATAAAACAGCAGCATCTAGCTTACTAATGCCAGACCCCCTCCACCCGCCAGGAAGTCAGCATCAGTCCTGGGACAACCCAGGCCAAGAAGCCAACCTAGCTGGGACCCAGCCCTACTTATCAATGGGCCAGCACTAGCCTCTGGACCCCTGTAACCCCACAGCCAACCATCAGGATCAGTCCTACCCACCATCAGTCTGACACCAGTTCCAGGAATCCCAGGGCCTTGTAGCCAGAAATCCCAGGATCCAGCTCTGCCCACCATTCTGCTGGTGAATTTACACCAGCTCCAAAACACCCTGGACCTCACAGCCACCAGTGTAAGGAGCAGGTCCTGCCCACAAGCAGGCAACATCAACCCCAGGCCACAGCCCTGCCCACCGGCAGGCCAGCACTAGCTCCCAGACCGCAGGCGCCACCAGACACCCCAGGACCTGGCTGAGCCCGCCAGTAGCACCAGCCTCCACACAACGCAAGGCCAGAGACCTGAGTGGGGTACACGCCTTCCTACCAGCACTTTAAGTCATCTTTATTACCTACAGCATATAACACTGTTTGTTATACAAGCTCTCAAACAGACACCAAAATAACAAGTTCAGGTGAAAGTCTGTATTTCACTAGGCAATGATATCAATAAAACTGCTACCAAGCATGAGCAATTTTAGGTACTACCTAAATTTTGATACTTAAAATGTGGCTCACATCAACTACACTAAAATGACCTGGGATAGACTGTTTAGAATAACAGAATCTTGAGTCCCACCCCAGACCCTCTAAATCAGTTTATTAATCAATATTTTAACAAGACCCTCAGTGAATTCAAATGCACATGCAAATATGAAAAGCGCTATTCTAGGTGCTTTATTAGGAAGTAGAGGGATAGAGGATAAAATGAGTGAAATTCTGTCATGAAACCTTATAGCAACATCACTCTGTGATTCTATTTTCAGGAAGTTATAGGATTTGGCAATACTTTAAATTCGGAATGAAGAGAACTGATTGATACTGATAAAGAGAACTGATCCACGCTTATAAAGGAGTAAAAGAAGACTATTTGCCTTAATTATACCGTTGTTGTTCAGTTGCTAAGTCATGCCCACCTCTTTGGGACCTCACGGGCTGCAGCACGCCAGGCTTCCCTGTCCTTTGTAATCTCCTGGAAATTGCTCAAACTCACGTCCATTGAGTCAGTGATGCCATTCAACTATCTCATCCTCTGCTGCCCACCTCTCCTCCTGCCCTCAATCTTTGCCAGTGTCAGGGTCTTTCACAGCATCAGTCTTTTTCAATGAGTTGGCTCTTCTCATCAGGTGGCCAAAGTACTGGAACTTCAGCTTCAGCATCAGTCCTTCCAATGAATATTCAGGGTTATTTCCTTTAGGACTAACTCATTTGATCTCCTGGCAGTCCACAGGACTCTCAAGAGTCCAGCACCACAGTTCAAAGGCATCAATTCTTCAGTGCTCAGCCTTTTTTATTGTTCATCTCTCACGCCCATACATGACTACTGGAAAAACTATAGCTTTCATTATATGGACCTGGATGTTGGCAACTTATCTCTGGTTCTTCTGCCTTTACTAAATCCAGCTTGTACAACAGGAAGGTCTCAGTTCACATACTGTTGGAAGCCTAGCTTGAAGGATTTTGAGCATTACCTTGCTAGCATGTGAAATGAGCACAATTCTATGGCAGTTTGAACATTCTTTGGCATTGCCTTTCTTTGAGATTGGAATGAAATCTGATCTCTTCCAGTCCTGTGGCCATTGCTGATTTTCCAAATTTGATGGCATACTGAGTGCAACACTTTATCATCATCTTTTAGCAACTAAAATAGCTCAGCTGGAATTCCATCACCTCCAGTAGCTTTGTTCATAATAATGCTTCTTAAGGCCTACTTGACTTCACTTGACTCCACACACCAAGATGTCTGGTTCTAGGTGAGTGACTGCACCATCATGGTTTTCCAGGTCATTAAGACCTTTTTTGTATAGTTCTTCTATGTATTCTTGCCACCTCTTCTTAATCTCTTCTCCTTATGTTTGGTCCTTGCCACTTCTGTATTTACACTGTTCCGTAATTATACTGGATCAGGCACAAAAATTTTTATTAAAAAAAAAAAAATAGAATCTACTGTACCAATATTGTGCTTAATAAGAGTATCAACCAATACTTTCAAGATGACGAGAATAGGAAACACTATAAGCTACCACAAAGTAAAAACTTGTAAATAAATAACATATTTTAGGGAGTAGATATAGAAAATAATAAAGGGTCAATTTACAAAACACCAAAGCAAGAATGAGAACTTTCAACATAGTTGTCACTATTTGAAAAATTATTTTCACAACAGCAAGAATTTTCACTGATGAGCATCATTTTCCAGCCCCCAAGATTTCCATCCACATCTCTCTTCTCTAACTCCTTTTATTTATGTCTTTCCTTCTTGTTTTTCCCTTATGCTTCTCAAAAATATCCTCAGGAACTGCTTCAATAAATGAGAGGTGCTCATGACGACAGAGATTATTATCCATATTCATTGAATTGATTCAAAAAAAGAAAAAACACCAATGTGAACAATGATTTAAAGCAAAAGAATATGAAGAGGAAAATGCTACCATCAAAGATTTATTCAGACAATGATACCAAAAAAAAAAAAAAATCATACAAAATAAAAAAGAAACCAATTAAGAATACCATTTCAGAATTCAGCTCCAGATCAAGAAAGAACAGAAAATGAATGACATAAAAAGGAACGTATACAGAACATTAAGCTGATATATGAAACATCTGGTAATATGAAAAGAGGTAACTTAGAACTGTAGGGACACAAGTCATAAGCAGGGCAACAGCTAGAGAAAAAAGTGATTACTGTAGAAAATTTTGCATATTTACATGTACAGGAATAGGATTCTGAAAATGGGGCATGTTCAGATAAACAGAGCAAGAGTATTCATCCAAAATAGAGCAATATTTCTGTCACTGCTGATAATATATTCCAGTGAGCCACAGAAATGCTACAGCAAAGTGGTTTTAGGAACAGGAAAGATATAGTTCCTATTCTTCTGGAGCTTTCAGTCTAGACTCTATAGTACAAGACAAATTCAGCATTTTCTTATTATGTTTGAAAATGAAGAGT